AGGACCCCTGGGCCATGAGCTTCATTTGACATTCTCCATGGCACGTTTATCACTAGTATTTCCACGTCCAACAGAGAAGGAAAAGTACAGCTCAAATTCAGCCGTGTCCAATGGCAGCATTATTCCTGCATTGAGTCAGAAAGATTGCAGAGGTGAAGGATAAAGATCTGAAATGGAGAATTAAACAGGAATAAAAATAAAGAGAAACCTACCTTCTGACACCAAACACCATGTCAAGAAACAGATAACAGTCTTGTTTTTATTACTTACTAGCCACGTAGCCTAGAGAATTTCAATTAATCATACTGAATTTCTGTTTTGTCACTGGAAAACAGGTACAATATTTTCTGCCTTTCAACATAACCACACAAATGCACGATATTTTTACTTAGCCTGTATTAATTGAATACCTACTACTATGTGCCAAGCATACTACTTATTTTCTTATTCAATACAAAAACAATCCTCAAAAATATTAGAGGCAGAAATATTTTTATCGGGCCGGCCTGGTGGCGCACTGCTACAGTGCTCCGCTTGGGAAGCGCGGCAGCGCTCCCACCGAGGGTTCAGATCCCACATACAGACCTGCTGCTCACTGGCTGAGCGAGGTGCGGGGGCAACACCGAGGGTTGCGATCCCGTAGCCGGTCCCAGTCCGGTACGGGCGCGACACTGAGGGTTGCGATCCATTGCCGGTCACGAAAAAAGACAAAAAAGGAAAAAAAAAAAAAAAAGAAATATTTTTATTTACTTCCTATCAATTCAACTTACCATAGTTCGCATTAAATTAATGCCTTCCCATAATATAATTCCAGAGGCACCCAGAGCAATAGTTTCACCAAATGTATTCAAGAGGTCAACCTGGCAAATGCAAAAGGAAAAGTTAACAGAAAGGTTCAAAATGAAAGTGTTATGCCAGTAACACCAAAGCTAAGCATGGTCACCCAAAAATAATAATTTAAATATTTCTCCACTATCTATTTCTATCCTTTACACAGCCATCACCCTGTTATAAAGAAAAGAAACTATTACGTGATTTGAGGATCACGCACTGCACACAGGTATATTGATATTCAACTCTGTACCCCACAGATATGTACAATCAATTATGTTTCAATTAAATAAATAAATAAATAAATAAAGTTTTACTTTTTCTACGTTTAAAAAAAAGATACTATTATTTTTAATTACATGTGTTGACAAGAAAGCAAGTCCATTAAAGAATAAAAAAAGAAATTGAGTTAATACAATCTCTATACACCCAAATCTCCATGATTCCTAAGAGATTATATGAGTACATTAAAAATTAAATATATTCTTATTTTGCATTGATAGAATGATATAGAACTATTTGTGTGCATATTCTTAAATAATATTAAAAGCTAAATTTCACTTCCCTCAAAAATGATATTAAATTTCACTAAACACCACCATTTGTGGATATTATTTCATAGCCCTCATACCATAACTTACCTCTGAAAGATACCTCGTAGTTAGATCAGTATAAACTGGGCGAGCATATACATAAACCGGAACTGGATTTTTAGCATCACGTACTTTAGAAACCCTAATGGCTTCCTGAACACGGTTACGGACAAAGAGTGCAGCTCCTCGAACAGATGAGATGCTGTTGAAATAGATGGATGGGAAAAGGGCAGTGCTTTCCTTCCACAGCCATTCGAGATCATCATTTCTACTCTTTTCGATATCATGGCAAGTTCCATTGTAATTGGGGTTATTAAAATTATAGTTGTGACAATCAGGAAAAGGATAATAACCCCATAAGTGATTTGGTCGAAGTAATTTTCCCAGTTTTAAAGTCTCTTGCATGAAAGTCTTTCCTGCCTTTTCAAACTCTTCTTTGGCTACCTTGGCAGCATCTTTGGCATTAAGGCTTACATTTTGTTGCTGAACCAACTCAATAGACCGATTCCTGTAAATATCTTTAGGTGCCCAGTTTCTTGCCCAGGTGGGATTCCATTCTTCCCAGTCAATGACAGCTAAGGCCACCTTGTCTGTTGGCAAGTAATAGGCAATGTCTTTTTTAGCTTTCTCCAAATGGTCGTCCTAAAATTGTGAAATTTCATATTTCTTTTTCTTTTCGTCTTTTATTGAAGGGGATCAGTGAGGAAGGAGGGAAAAGTCACTTCTGACAGAGGTAACAAGACAATAGTTTGCTTGAAACTATAGAATCAACCAAAAACTCCTACCAAAATGATAGCTTAAGTGCTCTTTGGAATACTGCTTGATCAAGTCTTACAATAATGTACTATCATGTGTAAAGTTAATAAGACATTTTACTATTTTATAACTTTTAGTAAAAGGATTGGTTCTAGCCTCACTTCATTAAAGCAATATATGAGTTTTGGCATTTTTATAGTGTTTGGTAAGTGAGATTGTGTTGTGGTTCTGATTGTCACAAAGTGAAGTGTTACAGCAAATTTTCTGGTACAGTAAAATGGTCTGAGCCAAGGACAATAAGTTAAACTATGTACTATTCAGCATTTGGCATTTGGGAAAATTACCTACAAGAAGATATATTTAAATGTTCCAGTATTTCTTTTCTTAATTCTTTTTTATTTATTTATTTTTTGGTGGCTACCTGGTAAGCAGAACCTTTCTTTATACCACACTCAGGATACTGAATATAATTTTCATGTATCTAGATTACTTCCAGAAATACTGTGGTAATCATTCTTTAACATAAAAATAAAAAGCAAACTTCTAAGTGAGCCACAGGCCACAAGTTTATTGCCTTGTATCCTAATCACATTTGATAGGGTGTGTATCGTTTCCAAAGTTTATAATTTCAACTTAAGGGCTGGCTTCTACACTCAGTTGCAAGTGTAGGGGCCAAAGGAAAACTTCTTTACCCCTGGAGTTTCATTAATAAAGATCACTGACAAATTTAGATCAATATGAAGAAAAAGCATAACAAATTTTATTATTTAACATGCTGGGAAGGGGCAAAGCAGGGGGGAATCCCAAGAGAGCGATGTCCCAATTTTCCACTGGGGTACAGAGCTTATATACCCATCTTCATGCGGAAAGGGGAGATGGGGAAGGGCGTGTAGGAATACAGGATTTTTAAAGGGGTGTAATGGGCCTGGAGAACATATAATGATCCAGAACAAAGCTTGTTTGGCCCACACAGCAGAAAATGACTGGTAAACGATAACTTTTTTTTTTTTTAATACTAAATGGGACCGAAATATAAGGCAATGGTCTGTGACAGAATTTAGTCCAGGTGTGTTGACAGACTCCAGTCTTCCTTCCTGTGATATGAGTTAAGTTGATGAAATCCAAGCGAAGAGTTTTGAACAAACATTTAAGAGACAGAATAATATTCCCCCAAAGCAGAAAGCGTGCCAAAGTTTACACTTTTTTAAGAAAGAAAGAATCCCTTGAGCAAGATTTTTTTCTAGGAAGTTTCTTATTAATCTATGACATTTTATAAATAATCTGGCCAGAAATACATATAAACTTGATTCAACAGGAGAGGTTAATACCACTTTACATGGCATTTCATCAACTTCTTTTTTCTTCCCCTTTCCTTTATTATTATCATTATTATTCCTCTCCCTTGGTTCCTTCTAACTTTATCTTAACTTTCTCAGTGTTGCCCCAGATATATTTTGAACAGGTTGGATATTCTGAAGGCTAAAGAAATTGCTAATCCTTAATCTATGTAACCACCACTAGGCACAATTAAATGCCAGAAAAACTACTCACAGAGCTGTTGTGGTGCAAAAAACTGTTACTCAAACTATGGTCCTTTGACAGGCTGAAATAAAGAAGCAGCCTCAAGGTCTCTCTGACCTTCCCCTCATCCCCCTCAATTCTCTGTCACTCTCCAAAGCACAGGATGAAGCTGATTCCCTCATCTACCTGCTGTTTAGACCCACCAAAAAAAGAAGACAATTACCTCTAGTCCCTTCTGTCATTTCCCTGAGTTTTCATTAACTTAATTCATCTCACAGGAAGGAAGACTGTAATCTGTCCACACACCTGAACTAACTTTTATCATAGACTATTGTCTTATATTCTGGTCCCATTTGGTATTATTGAGAAAATCATTTACCAGTCATTGTCTGCTTTGCAGTCCAAACAGACTTTGTCCTGGGCCATTGTTTGTTCTTCTGGCCCATTGAATTCCCCTAAAAATCATTTACTTCTACACCCCCATCTGCCCTTGCCCTATGGAGATGGGTATATAAGTTGTGTACCCCGGTGGAAAATTGGGATGTAACTCTCTTGTGATTCCTCTGTGCTTTGCTTTCTCCCAGCACATTAAATAATAAAATTTGTCATACCTTTTCTTCATATGGATCTAAATTTGTCTGTGATTTTTATTAATGAACCTTTAGGGGTGAAGTTTTTCTTTAGACCCTACAGAGCTAAAGAGGTAGTCCTAAAAACATGGCACATTATAGAACTAATCCTTGTCCACAAAGTCATACCTGATTTTCCCTACCAGGTTATGTAATAGAAAGAGAAAAAGACAACTTATTTTTGAAGTAAAACTTTAAAAGTTTTCCTCTAAGATGTCAGTAGATCAGAAGTTGCTCCACTCTAATAGCTCTGCAATATCTAACCTGTTGGGTGAGAAAAGGCAGCACTTTGTCCTGTCAAAAGAAAGACTTAGTCTTCTGAGATGTCATGGGGTAGGGAAACCTCCGTGTGTGTGTGTCTGTGTCTGTGTTTGTGTGTGTCTGTTTCTGTGTGTGTGTGTGTGTGTCTGTGTGTGTGGTTGGTGTTTTAATACCAACAAATTCAAGTGCTTCCGGCAGAGAGGATTAGCAAGGATGGTAAATTAACATAATAATGCTATCAATTTTTTATTAGCATTTGAAATGAGTTTAAGAGCCCAGTAGTAACACAAGCTCCTATTGCAGTTGCTTTGATTGCTAAGCATTTTGTTCAATTAATGACACATTTCTGTACTGTTATGCTGGTGAAGAATAAACTTCACGGCAATGTTTTCAAAAAAGTACATAATTTACTGCACAAGTAATTTCTCCATGCAAAATTAATGAAACAACTTAGAATTAATGTTTTCAATGATGAAGAAAGTCATGTTTAACATTTGTTATTACAGGAAAATACTTCTTTCCTAAATCCTGCTCCTTTTGTTAAGGTGGGAAGAGAGAGATGAAAGGAGAAAAAGAATAGCCAAATAAATAGTGAAATCCCTCAAGAGCAGTTCCCAAAATCAAATTTTGTTTAATTGCTGGGGTGGAACATATAAATATAATTTACATGTGTCCAATTTATGCACTAAGTTAATCCTATTTACACATAATTGGAAAAATATGTCTAAGAAGCTAGCAAACCACTGTCTGATTAAATGTAAATTCTACATATTGAATCCTTAAACAAATTATATTGATATGTTGTAAAAAAGAATATTAGTACTTTGGCTTTTAGAAATGCATGATAGGTCAATACCAAAGGTGTTTTATTGAAAATAAGAAAGTAATTCATCTTATACCTGGAAGAGAATTCCTTTGGAAAGAATGTGAATAACATTCTATGTCTAAATTATCTTTGGAGACTACAATGTACACTAAAAAATGTAAATAATAAACCTTTAATTGTAGGGTTAAGTTATTGTTCAACTTGCAGAGCAATTCAATGGATACTCAATAGATACATGCCAAATTAGTTAATTAGTTAACCAAATGAATGAACCTGTACTTTAAATTTCAGCAAACTCAAAATTATGGTCAATGGTGACACTCAAAAATGAAGGTGTTCACACAATAACTGAAGCATACCAAGTTAAGAGCACAGCAAAAACACCATTTTCACATGGGTAGCCTCCTATAGCCACCACAATTTCCATGGCTGCCACAAAAGCAGCTAATCTCTATAGCAACAGTCACAGCCACTGTGCAGATGGCATGCCAGACTCTCAACTGCATTGACACAAGCAGAGGCACTAGCTGAGACCAAAACAAACAAACCAAAAAAAGAGGTCCTTTCTTTCCACAAAGCACACCACAGAATAATAGAAGAAGCAACTGATTTATGAGAATAGGGGAGGACTTGATCACACCTGTCTCGCTGTCTCAGTACCGGACAGATCATCTAGGCAACAAACCAACAGAGGAACAGCTAATCTATCAGATGTAGAGAACAAATCTATGGTCATTAGAAGGGGGAGGGGAAAAGGGAGGGGAGAGATTGGATAAGGGGCATAAAGAATATGTATGATTAGTAACAATAAATATGGTAGTAAAAAATTTTTAAAAAGCAAAGCTGGACAGTAGTTAAAGCAGTAAAAACAGATTTATTCAGAAAAAATATTGCAAAGGGGAAACAAAACATTAGTAAAGAAATGACCTCAATTCCAAATACAAAAAATAAATAAATAAATAAAGTGGAAATTTATAGCCAAGAAGCAGGGAGGGGGTCAATGAATAGGACATTTCATCAGGGGCAAGGGGGATTCTGACTAAACCGGCCTCACAGGATTCTTGCTGGAGGCAGGACAGGGGGTGATCAGACATCACCTGAGGGTGATGAAGAACCCCACCCCACCCACCTCCCCTCGGTGGTCTGATTAGAGGATGGGAAATTCTTGCTAAACTGACTTAGCAGGCTTCTTGCTAGAACTGGGCTCTAAAAGGAAGGACATAGAAGCCCAGGGTTCGAGACCTAGTCAAAAAGAATGCACAGATGAACTGGATTAGACTTTGGTCAAGGAGAGAATCTTTGTCAGTCCCCCTTCTTGTATACGCTGGATGAGTTAATTGCCTAATTAAATATATGAACTTGATTCACTCTGAATTTCAGTAAACTGAAAATTATGGCCAATGACAATGCTTTAAAATGAAGATGTTCAAACAAAAACCACAGAAGCTCAAGCATTATTCAGAAGACAAGTACATCTTCTACAGCCAAGCATGAGGCCAACACACCCAGAGAGAACTAAAACTAAGTAATTGAACGAAGACTTAAAAGAGCCTGTAAAGTTAAGATACTAATTAAAAACACAATAGCTTTGCTAGGGATGCTGTCTGCAATGCCATTTGTCAAACCCCAGGCTAAGATCAGTGATGCCCAACTTTCAGTCAACCCAACATTCCACTACCATAAAAGTAGGACCAGTCCTAGTTCTTCTGTGATTACAGTGGCTCAGCGGCCTAGCACTAACAGCAAAAGGGCTCAGTACCAACTCAAGTCAAAGTATAAGAAGAATAACAGCGGGGTGGGGATCACTCTGTGGTGGGGGCTATTAATGGCAGTTCCAGGGTCTGCAACATTTTTCCCAGTTGTCCTAAATTCATCTGAAGTGGAGGCAGCAGAGCTTGACATTTTTGCTGGTGTGGAATGACTGAGTACAAACTGGTGATGGTTGGAGCATGTGATGGTAGAAAAAGCACATTGACAATCTGCTAATCCAGAACCACTTTGTAGATGAATATGATCCCACCACAAAGGATTCTTAACAAAAACAGGCATTTATAGAGTGACATGTGCCTGTTGCACATATGGGTACACCTGGACAAGGGGACTACAGTGCCATGAGAGAGCAATACAGGAGGACAGGCAAAGGCTTTCTCTGTTTATTTGCCTTCAATAATAGCAAATCATTTGCAGACATTAACCTCTACAGGGAGCAGATTAAGTGAGTAAAAGACTCAGATCTATGGTACTGGAAACAAGTGTGATTTGCCAACAAGGACAGTTGACACAAAACAAGCCCATGAGCTGGTTAAGAGTAACGGAATTTTGTTTATCGAAACTTCAGCCAAGACCGAATAGGGTGTTGAAAATGCCTTTTACATACTGGTAGGAGAAGTGTGCCAGTAACATGAAAAAACAACAGCGGTGATGACGGGACTCAAGGTTGTATGGGGTTGCCATGGGTGGTGATGTAACAAAATACTTACAAAGTTCTGTCATCAGAAAAGAGCCACTTTTCAGGCTTCACTGACACCCTGGTGCTGACTTCCCTGGAGGAGAGCTATTCCTCTTGTTATCTTCAGTCTCACAGAGAAAGTCCTGATCATACCCCAACTCTGAGTAGATAGTACAGTATTCTCTATTTGAGAAATTCTCAGAATAACTACATCCTCACTTGGTTGTCGGACTGGAGAAATGCATCTCTTCCCAGTACGTTTCTGCCCTGGGTTCTCCCCAGACACATGCAAACACACCTCCATCACCCCTGGTTTTTTATCTCAGAAGAGAACCAAACTGCAGACATGAAATTCTGAAGAAGCAAGTGCTGATTTTTCTTTATTTCTTTTAACTGTTAGAGTTGGAACTATGTTACTTTGGGGGGAAATGTCATAAACAACTGATTTACAGAGAATATAGTTAACATTGCTGTTTGGTTGGTGTGTAATCTGTAAACTAGCATGTGCTCTGTATGTATAAATACAAAAGTGAATATTGAATTTTTAAAACGGACCTTAGCCAGAAAAACAACCATCTTTGGGGTAACTAAGACCAAGCAGAACGTTTCAGTCAGCCCTTAACTTGGAAACTGACAATTATCAATTCCTTGAGGTTAGCAGAAGAATTGAGACTGCTGGGAGATGAAATTGCTGCATCTTATGTTGACTTACTTCAGAGGGGGTGCACCTACAATTCAGGACTGAAACTAAGTTTCTTGATTTTCTTAACTCTCTAATTGGCTGCAAAGGAGAGGAGATATAAGAGAGAGGCAAGACAACCTAGCTGATTGTAAACTCCCTCCCTCACTTAAAGGAAAACTGCACTCACATATATGAGAAATCCACGTCAGGTATTTTTATGACGTCTGAATAAGATTATTCTCCATGAGCTCTCCCTAGGAGATAAGGCCTCCAACTCTGAGGTAACATCAAGGACTTGAAGCTCACCACAGACTCTGTGATGCTGAAGTTTCCAATCCATCGTGGGACCCTGACATTTGACTCAGACCATCTGCTGCTCCCAGACTCCTCCCTCCCTCCTTTTTTCTATAGAACAAAGACCCTTTCCTCATCTTCCTGCCTCTTCCCCTTTATTAACCCCAGAACAGACATCAGAAGGTGGGATGATTTTAGCCTGGTCATTGCCCAAATGCCAGTTAACTGAATAAACATTCTAATCGTTGCACCAACTTCTGGATTTTCAAGTAATTTGTTTAATGTGAGAGGGCTTGCCGAGCCCAGTGTGGCAGTAACATTTTGACTTTCATGTAATTAAATAGAACTCTCACAACAAGAAATAAAGAATAATGAAGACCTCTATGATCACTGGTCCATTGCATAATGAACTACAAAAGTCATAACATGGGCTGTGGTTCACAATTGGCCTTCATCAGCAATAACCAATGGTTCTCTTCCCTTGACCAGTCAGATACTTTTGATTTTTATTTCTTTGAGTTGCCAGTCATAGTTACTAAATCTTCTACATATGGGATTACACTGAAGATCCGAATGGTCACTATAGTCACATATAATCAGAAAATACCCATTTGTTCACAAATTTCCTTTGTCCAAAAACAATACGGACCCAATCTCTTCAAACACAAGTAAGCATATTAACCAAAGCAGAGGATAAATGTCATTAAAGAACAAAATATATATATCGTCAAAAGAAAATACAACAGGTAGTTTTCCTTTTAACTATTTAAGATATCCGGAGCCTAAAAAGATACAAGGCCTGTAAAAGCAGCACTTGGGATGCAGAGCCTACAAAGATACCAGGCCTGTAAAAGCAGCACTTGGGATGCAGACTGATTTTCTTCTAGGAAAGATAACTGGTTCAAAAATCTTATCAGAGTTTAAAGTGTTCATTACTTATCTTCTTAAAAAGTCATCTTCTGCAGTCTACCCTAAGAATGCACATTTTGTGAAAACAAAATGATGTCTGAATTCTTAAGCAACCAAATGTCTTCCCAGCAGCAACTGCCACCTTTCCCTTTAGCTAATGGTGTGATAACAGTACAAGATTAGAATACTACAAAGCAGCACTGGAAACACTCATTACTGTCTTTCTTTACCATGACTTTATTCTCTCTTCTCACATTCACTATTAAACTTTTTCTTTCTGTCTTAACTGAGTCTTCCATCTGCCTATGAGACCTAGAGGCTGGTGACACACATGGCTAAAGGGATTAAAGAGCCCAGATCCAGAAAAGGATTGAGGCTTTATTTCCATTTTTAGCTCTATTCTGCAACAGCTGGAGGATCCAAATTCTTCAATCTTTATCACTTGATTCTTTAAAATTATTGTCAAAGGACAAAATTACAACAAAACTAGTTAAACATCTCAATTGGCTTTATCATGAATCTAGAATCAGGCAACGTGTCATTCCATCAAATATAATAATTGTTCCAATGAGTCAAGCAGAGGAAGTTGGTTTTATAGACAGAAAAGGCTGGAAAAAGCAAAAACGAGGAACAAAAAGCAGATTGGTCGATTCAAAGTTACTTTCTTAGTAAGGCAGGGACAGAGAGACAGCACAATAGAAAAATAATTGATTATTTAGGACTAAGTTAAGGAAGTTAACTGAGTTACTTGAGGCTATCCTTTTTGTGTAAGGATTAAAGCAGAGGGAACTTCGTTATCATGCCTATTGAAGATTCAAACTGGCCCGTTTGGGAAACTGGCTGTTATCTTTCTCTCCTGATTTCTCAGTAAGTTAGACCACAACTTAGTTTAGGTTTGTTGACATAGAACTTAGCAAGAGTGAATCCATTTTGATTTTTAGTTTGGTCTTTTGGGGCCTAGTGCAGGAACTTGGTCCAAAACAGTGGCCTCCTCTAAATTTTATTCAACCATATATTGGTAATACCTAGATCTATCTAACACCGAGGAATGCTGGGATAGTATGTGAAATGATACCCGCGAAGTATTTTTTATAAGCTATGTAAGTCTTAAGTGCAGTGTTATTTTCCCTGGACTACCAATATTATTAAATGTTGCTTACTATGGCTCATTCGCATTTATTCCAAACTACAAGAAAGACAGCTGTAATGGGGGTGGAGAGGATTCTTTCTGACCTTTTGGGAGTTATACAAAACAATGTATATGATTCGATTAGGGATATCTCTAGAAAAAACTAAGGGATTTTAAATTCCTAGTCCAGGAACACCAAAAATATATTTAACATGAATACTGATGTAGACAATATAGAGATGTTTGGGTGTAACAGTGATAATCTAGAGTCATGAATTACTTAATGATGAGGATATGTTCTGAAAAATGTGTCATGATGTATAGCCTATTGCTCGTACGCTACAAACCTGTACAGCATGTTACTGTACTGAATACTGTAGGCAATTGTAATACAATGATAACTATTTGTGTACCTCAACATAGGAAAGGAACAGTAAAAAATAAGGTATGAAAGATGAAAAATGGTACACCTGTGCAGGGCACTTTCCACGAATGGAGCTTGCAGGACTGGAAGTTGCTCTGAGTGAGTCAGTGAGTGAGTGAGTGTGAGGGTCTAGGACATTACTGTACACTACTGCAGACTTTATAAACACTGTACACTAAGGCTACACTAAATTTATATAAAACATAAAGTGTGCTTATGACAACTATGATGTCACTGTCCGTTATAATCTAATGGGACCACTGTGGTATACATGGTCTCCTGTTGATCAAAGCATCGTTACGTGGCACCTGACTACACAAGGTTACTCCAAAAGTTCATGGAAAGATTTGCATTACCTTCTTTTTCTATTTTTTCATAGACATTTTGAAGTACCCTCATACTGANTGAACATCACTGTACTTTGATTTTTTAACTGTAAAATGTGGATGATAAAGCAACTATCTCATAACTCTGTTGTGAAATTTTAATGAAATAATCTATATACAAAACACTTAACACAATGCGTGTGAAGGGGTTCAGGGTACGCCACTTCAAAATATGCCACTTTGGCATATTTGTCATTTTGAGCTGAAGGTGACTGAGCGACAGCATATCCTGGAAAGGGTCTCTGAGCTCCCCCTTACTGCAAGAAAGACAGAATTTCCCGTGTGCAGTGCACCCTCCCTCTACCAGGAAGAGGAGAACATTGTGATCACTGGGGACTGGGACTCAGTGCTGAGATGAATTTTAACAATCCTACTAAATTGACCCTT